ACATATCCTTATATTGAGATGTCATAGTCAAGGGTGGACCGTAGTACAGACCCAGGGGGCAGTCGCCCCCCAACAACAATTTTTTTTAGTGTATATATATAATAAAAAAAAATTCGCCCTCTCAAAAAATATTTTTTTTAAGTTACCGCCCTCCCAAGACAAACTTCATGGGTCCGCCCCTGGTCATAGTGATACACTAGTATTCACACCCATGCGATCCACGGCCGAAATAAAGAACCTTGTATTAATTAAAACAAAAATACCAAAATCCAAAATGATACATCAAAACTTTTACAATGAACATTTCATGGACAACAAACAAAATCGTGTTATTTAACATAAGATAACATGAAACAATTTACATATTTTGAAAGAGTAGTTGTAAATGTAAAAATGTAATACGGAGTATACCATATTACCATGACACTTTAGAAAATTAAAATCTATAATTGTAAATCTATAAGTAAACATATAACATGAAAGTAATTAAAAGAAGTAGATAAGTTAGCCGGAATTGTGATACTCGACATTTAATGAGTAAAAAAGAAAAATTTGAGTAAAAGTATAAGTAAAGAAAACAAATTATTTCCTAAAATGGAATGAAAACCTTTAGTTGGACACTTAATTAAAGAACCTTCTAAGGGAAAGATAGAGTACATAGAAGTGTTCCTCCAAGTAATAAAAAGGACTGTGCATTATACTCAAACTCAAACCGACCAACGTAATTGATCTAATCAATTCAGAAAGTAACAAAATTTTACTAATTGAGTGATTGCAACAAATCAGAGTTTGTAACATATGTCCGTTATTCCCTAAAAAACATTATTGGTCCATAAGAAACCCATAAAAAAAATTGCATGCATTCTCTCACAAATCTAATTTTCTAGGACGAACATGAGTTCCACGTATGTTACTTGGTTTTGTGATAACACTTGTGCTGGACACTCAGGGCTATATATACACATACACAAAGTGGAATTCAAAAAGGTAAAAAAAACTTGGAACTCTCAAATGCAGCTGCCATGCCAATTACATAATTAATGGGCGGTGAGTTTTAAATAAAAACATGCACTTATAAACGAAAAGAACATATCTTGAGAATCCTAAAGCTGGAAACTGCAAGCTACGAAGCATTTAATATTGAAGCTACAACAATTTTATCTAGAAAATTCACGACAGTCTTATACGAATTAAAGAGAAGTGCAATTGGAAAAATCAGCAATGTGAAAATGAGTAAGCGTATTATATTCGCCTTGGAATATGAAACGGAAGCAAACCATCCACTGAGAAATGCAAAACCCAAAGTGGCGAGCTACACATCATTAAATGTTCATGTCAGAAAGGTTTTGTCCAGAATTTTTGAAGAATGATCTACCAACAAATCTTTTGTTATTATATTAAGATTGATGTCATCAAACCAAAAGATATTTGGCTAATATTAATATAAGTCGGTGTTAAAGATTAAAGTTCACATATTTAGAAATATATACTCCGTGTACAATATAAGTTACTATCTGTATACATACAATGTATACGTACATACAATGTATATATATATATATATATATATATATATATATGAGATATTATGTTTCATCGATACCTTATATGGTCCATTTTTCAAATTATATGCTAAGAAATTGCCATAAATTGGAGTAAAACGGGTGCTTGCCATATACTCGATCCCTCCGTTTCTAAAAGAACCTCACACTTTCCTTTTTTGGATGTGCCAAAATAAAAGTCACACTTCCCTTATTTCCTTATTTGGCAAAGAAATCTACATCCAAACAGTGTCAAACAACGCCAAACAGTGCCAAACAGTGTCCAAACAATGCCAAACAGTGTCTAAATAGTGTTTTCTACAGTAAAGTCAATTTATTTCCTTAATAATCGTGAAGTCAAACCGTGACTTTCTTTTAGAAACGGAGGGAGTATGAGGTATTATGTTTCATCGATACCTTACATTAGCCGATAGAAAAAAATGTCTTTTTTACCTTTTTGCATCAAATAACCAATTGTAAAAATCGTTTCCCAAACACTAAAACTAGCCATTCGACATAATAAAAAAGCCAAAGTCAATTCAAAAGTGCATGTTTGGCAGATATAAGTCTCTGCCTTCTAACTTTTGTACTGTTTAAAAAGTTTCTAAAAGCTTCTAAAAGCTTCTTGTAGTATGTTTGATATGACAATTTTTAAGAGCTTTTCGAAAATTAAAAGATCTTTTTTGAGATGCTACAGGGAGTAGCATCTGAGAAAAGCCCGTGACTTTTAGCTTTAATTAGTCCTAACAGCTTGTAAATCAAATGCTCAGCTTTTCACCAAACAGCTACCATCTTTTCTTTTTAAGATCTTTTCAGTCACTAAAAGCTAACAGTTACTAAAAAGCTTATAAAAGTATCTTTTCAGCTAGTGGTGCTAAACATACCCTAAGAGCACACCGTTTTTATTCCTTAAATAGAAGTAATTACTGTCATATTTGAAAAATACCGTCAATTACGCCCACTATACTGTCACATTTAAAGCTTGGCCATGCAAAAATTTGATAATAAAATTTAAGCATGAAAGTAAATTACTCATATTTAGGTAAAAATACAATACTCCTAATTTAAAAAATGTAATTGTTTTTACTCCTATTTTGAGAATTTTCCCTTCTATATTCTATAATTTTTTTAATGCAAAACGTGCAACTAAAAAATTATAAATGTTAAAAGTTAAAGAGTCAAATTCAATATGCATGTAAAACCTTATAAAATCAAGCACTTTAGAAATTAAACTAAATAAGCTAACAATGTTTATTCACTTAGACTAATTTTTTTTTTAATATGACCTGATCTAATGAGAAATGATTTGGTCTTCTAGGAATAGATATTTTGTCAAGTCATATAAAGTCTAATACTAAGTATAATACTCCGTATGATATGTCTCTTGCGGAAATAAGTTGAAGTTAAAACATTATATTCTAACAAATTCATGCTGTAAAGAACATAAGTTATCATTCATAACATGTAAACCTTGAGATCTTGATTGAGTTGACTAAAAATAAAAGATTGTTTATTATGGGTATTACTCAGATATGGTTTTTATATTCTAGAGAAGTATTTGCTTAATATGTATTGTAGCTAGATTTGTGGCCTAAGGCTGCATACATGTTGTTTCAGATCACTATATCTATTTAGTACTACTTCATATGTGATGATTTATGTTTAACAGGAACTGTCGTTCAAGAAGGTGATCAAGAGGGAAACGTTTGATGTGGTCTTGGACATGCAAGTTTACCCATCATTCATCGCGACTTGCTGCTGCGTGGTTGGGCTTTTCGGCAGCGGGGAATGGAAGAGTTTGAAGGGGGAGATGGATGGTTTTGGGAAGGGGAAAGTTTCATATGTGATGACTTTGGTTTGGACTGCTTTGTCTTGGCAGATATTTTCTGTTGGTTTGTTGGGATTAGTATTTGAGGTTTCTTCTTTGTTCTCCAACGTCATTAGTACAATTGGTTTGCCTATTGTTCCTGTTCTGGCTGTCATATTGTTTGGTGATAAGATGGATGGAGTTAAGGTCATTGCTTTGCTCCTTGCGCTATGGGGATTCCTCTCTTATGTTTATCAGCACTATCTTGATGATTCCAAGCCTAAATATAAACCATCTACTCTAGTATAGTTTTCTCAGCTTCTGCTATTTTTAATGTTTGGTATATTTTTATTGATTTTTAATGTTTTTCTTTAGTCTCCCTGTATCTCTGTAGTCTGATATTTCCAACTCCTTATCTTATGAAGATTCATGATAATCTACCCAAACTCTTTTACGTAGTATTAATAAGAACTAGATATGGGTGGATGTTGTTCCTTTCGTATTTAGGTAGTAAGAACTAGCTTTTTTATTAGACTCACAATAAGCTACTATAGGGAAACGAGTTCAATTGTATTTAGGCCCTCTACTTAAATGAATCTGTAAAAATTCGTTTTTACTACCAAGTGAAGAAGAAGAAAATGAAAAGAGCGTCCATTTTTAATTGGTAGTGCTACGGTACCTCACAAATGATTGAGTGTATTGAGTCTACAATACATTTGATTGGTTCAAATTATTGTTTCATGATTTATTAATATTTAAGTTATTCTATACCGTAATTGTTTTATGTAGACAAAGTATGGTACCTTGGAGTTACAGCTGAATTAGCCTTTTAATTTTTCAACTTAACAAGAAGATGCAAGATTGCAAGCCAATTGATGCTACTCAAAGTCTCACACAAGGTCGTATGCATAAGCATGAACGTAGTTTGACAAAGTATTGAGGAACGGAGGAAGTATTTTGTATTATAAGAAGAGTGTAATACTATTGTAAAGTCCTATTTAAAAAATAAAACACATCTACTAGAATTTGAGAACTTAGGCAATATTTTACTCTTATTCGAGCAATTATATCAAATTAATTACCTCATACAAAAAAAAGTTAAGGTTTCTCCATACGAGAGAGACAATTGAACTTCAAATCTCTCTAATGGATAATGTGTGCTTCACGCCTTCACACCATAGCTTATAGTAGAATATATCTATACAAAACAATCTTCTTATGGTAATGATAATCCTTTTTTCATCTCATATTAACTGTGTTTGACTTTACATGAGCAACAGGGGTTTTCTTAATATATTAATGAAATACAGAGCATAAATTTTAGAGAAAAATGTGATAAAGATTTTTACAAGTGCACTATCTTGGACCTCTTGGTCATTTGAATTGTAAATGTAACACAATTCTCTAGTCATCGCTATATATAAAAATCACTTTTTTCATCTAATATATTTACTGTCATATACGATAGTACTTCGTATCAGTTGTAAATAATGTGGTAACAATTTGTTGATACTTGATAGGAGATAAAAATGATATCCAACGCAAAATCATTTCCCTTAAAAGGAAAAAAAAATTCATGCTAATATTGGGATACAATAGAGCCACAAGAAGGCTGTACGTGTTTGACCATTTGTTTGTTGATGATGTTGATGGTTGACCAAATCTTAGTTTATAAATCAAACTTATTGTCACACGTATATCACTTCTGGATTCAAACAAGAAGAATCCTACATAGCTAGACTATCAACCTTTGCTCCAGTTTCATGGATACCTCTCAAGAACTTGAACTCCAGAACCAAGGTTACTCATTTTGATTAGAAAATTACTTTTTCCTCAGTTCCATAACTTCCATTCCATTAATCTGCAATAATATATTATTAATTTATCTGAGCTGAATATCTGCTGGATTTATGATATTGTTTTTTGGGTAAGGCAATGATTCTACTAATCACCAGATGGAGCTTTCATCATCACCAAGAAGAAACAAGAAATACACATGGTGGTTGAGGATTGGGGTGTACATCATTTTTCTGGTCGCCGGCCAGTCCACCGCCACGCTGCTAGGGCGGTTTTACTTCGACAAAGGAGGGAACAGCAAGTGGATGGCGACGCTGGTTCAATCCGCCGGCTTCCCGGCCTTGGTCCCACTCATCTTCTTCTTCTCCGCAAAGTCTTCATCATCAAGAACAGGACAACCTCGTACTAGAATCAGAAGGACATGGCTGCTGTCCCTTTACGTGTTCTTCGGCCTGCTCTTGACAGCCGACAACATGATGTATTCCTACGGCCTCCTCTTCCTCCCTGTCTCCACCTATTCCCTCCTCTGCGCCACCCAGCTCGCCTTCAATGCCCTGTTCTCCTTTCTTATCAATGCCCATAGATTCACCCCCTTGGTGCTCAACTCCGTCGTCCTCGTCACTGTCTCCGCCGCCCTCCTCGCTGTCCACTCCGATGACGCCACGGCGTCAAGAGTTCCGAGGGGGAAGTACGTCGTGGGCTTCTTGTGTACGGTGGGCGCCTCTGCTGCCTACTCCCTATACCTTTCCCTCATGGTTTGTCTTGTGCTTTAAAGTCAATTTAACTCACCTATAAATGTTCCACTTTAGATCATGATTGAGTTGACTAAGACTTACAAGATTTTTTTATTATTCATATCACTCAAATATGACTTTCTCTAGAGAAGATATGAAGTATTTGTTCATGAAGTATTTGTTCACTGTTATGTCATTTACAGGAACTGTCGTTCAAGAAGGTGATCAAGAGGGAAACATTTGGTGTGGTCTTGAACATGCAAGTTTACCCGTCATTCATTGCGTCTTGCTGCTGCGTGGTTGGGCTTTTTGCTAGCGGGGAGTGGAGGAGTTTGAAGGGGGAGATGGATGGTTTTGGGAAGGGGAAGGTGTCATATGTTATGACATTGGTCTGGACAGCTTTGTCTTGGCAAATATGTTCTGTTGGTTTGTTGGGATTAGTATTTGAAGTTTCTTCTTTGTTCTCCAACGTCATTAGTACAATTGGTTTGCCTATTGTTCCTATTCTTGCTGTCATATTGTTTGGTGACAAGATGGATGGAGTTAAGATCATTGCTTTGCTCCTTGCGCTATGGGGATTCCTCTCTTATGTTTATCAGCACTACCTTGATGATTCCAAGCCCAGTAAACCACCTACTGTAGTATAGATAAGCCTTCTGCTATTTTTTTTTTAAAATCTTGTACATTTGACTGGCTATAGCTTATGAGATTGAGAAGCCTTCTGCTATTTTTTTTAAAGTTTGTACAGTATGACTGGCTATAGCTTATGAGATTACAGTGGCCCCGTGAAAAGCTAGTTGTTGCAGTGAGTTTAACAATTAGATACACCAATTGCGCGATGCAGTTGAAATGTTTAAAAATATTTTTTAAGAAGATATTTAGTTTAAAAAATCAGTAAAATAATTTAAAATGTATTGAGTTCAAGTATAAAAGAGAATATTTAAAATAGAAAAATAAAAAATTAAACCAAAAGAAACTCAACTCTTTGGAAGTACCAAGTTCCAGTGAAAGAGTGAGATGATAAGATGTTCAAGTGAGCAATCTCACCATACACCAACCCTGGATTATCTCACCTTTCAATCTAGAAATGCACAGCTTCAAAAGCAAAATATGTACAGGATTTACTACAAGTGTTGAAATTCTTCCCATCAGCAAGGAGTCTCTCACAGTCTCATGCTTAGCTTAAAAAGAGAAATTCTTCCCATCAACAAGGAGTCTCTCATAGTCTCATGCTTAGCTTAGAATATACTTTTGAATTGAGCAATCATTCCGGTTCCTTCATAAACCTGCTCTACGATCATTGAATAAATTTCAGCATAAATGTGCCCACATGGGTAATGCTTCTTATGTGAAATGGCCATAAATGAGAACTGCTAAGATTTGTACAGCTCAACTGTTTGTTTGGAGATATGTTTTTTTAGAAATATGTGGTGCTGATATAGGAGACAATGTTCAGACATTGTCCCTTGTATCTCTGAAATAAAGCCTAAAATTGGAAAAGATAAAAAAGATAAAGGCATTAAGAGACTATCACTTAAAAGTGATAGATCCCAACAATTTAATTGTTATCATCAACCTAATACTTCCTCCGTGCCGTCGCAAAAAACAAAACAGTTTACAAAGCTCACTGAGTATCAAGTTTTTTTTTTGGCTAGACTTTTTAGTCCTCCTTATAGTATCTGTTCAATACTTCATTTTTAAAATGCTAACATCCTTGACTGGGATGAGTTTCAAACCTGTGACTTCCTCCTTGGAAGTGTCACAGTGATGCCATCGAACCACAAGGTGCTTGGCCACTGAGTATAAAGTTAATTACCCCATAATAATATTTAAGTTAGAGTTAATAATTAAAATTCACGTATTTAGAAAACCAACTACAAGTTACGGAGTATATTGCAGCGCAAAAACAGAAGTTGAATATGATAAAATACACAACCAAACGAGAGATTGCGTCATGACTCTCAATAAAAGAGTTTTCGAGTATCCTCAAATGATATTTTCACAAGCAAATCATCGAGACAAAAAGAACATGAACTCTAAGATCTCATTTCAGATGAAAGTATGAAACAAATGATCATAAAGACATAAATCTTGCCCAGTGAGAGCTCTCATGTCTCAACCATCAGTGCATAGGTGGAAAGATTCGCGAAAAGGGAGAAACAACAGCATCTTGCACATATACCTTGGAGTTACTTGGATCAGGGACCCAATGAATCTCACTCAGGTTTGGTGTCTCCACAAAGGTCATGGTGAACTCCCCCACCTTCTCCGCCTTGCCTCTTTTGCCAGCCCTCAACACAAAAGCGTTTCGATTGTAAGAGAAGATGCCATTTGAGAGAGTAATAATATCACCGGGCTCAAACTGATCACACTCGTCAGCCCACATCTGGAAATGAACGGCTGCAGTCTCATCGGCAACTAACGCCAAACATGCCTTTTGTTGTGCATCCCCTGACACTCTTCCTTTGTCTAAAACAATGAATTTTGTGTTTATATTGTTTGATGCAGCTGGTACTATGTCTTTCAGAGATTGCATCCTTTCTACGATTGTCTGCAACCAATAATTTCAAACATGAAGTGGTATTCCTTACCAAATGCTAAGATACTTAAATGAACCAAAATAAGTTCAAACCATGAGTCGAGTTTCTTTTTATGTAAGCATTTATTTCACAGATCTGAATATGGAATTGTAAGAAATGAGCTCCAGGAAAATAAATGAATGAATTCCAGAAAGTCAATCATTATAACCAAACTAACCACAGAGCATTATCTTGCAAATGACCTTAAAAACATTTGAGGTCATTTGTAGCTAGCTATTTAGAACCTGAAAATCTACAACAACAAATTCCGTATTTCACTAACAGTTTAACCCAGAACGTAGCAGTATCTAGACGCTAGAGGTGGCATTTATTGTATATTTGTATAAGGAATGTTTGGCAAATTCTCCAACTTTCCACAACTAAATATCACCTTTCAAAACCAACTCCAGCTAAACAACAGACGAAATAATGATAACACTACCCGAATTCTTTCAAATCAATCGCTAAGCACTTGAGTTTATTAACGAAGATGAAGAGGAAATAATCGATAGCACAAAGTGTGTGCACTACTTATCTACCGACCTTAATTAAATTCATACAACCAAAATTGAACAATTCTTATTCTACATTTAACAATTATTAATTGCCCCCACCCTATGAGAAACGGAGGGAAAGGAATGAAGGTAAAAAGAAAATAGCAATCGCAGGATGGAGCTGGTTTTAATCCATCTTCCATACTTCCATGACAAGAGGATTTAAACAAAGAAGTTGCAGCCTAAGAAATTTCAAGAAACGATAGAAGAGTGTTGATACCCAGATAACTTGTTCACGGGGCGTTTTCGGAAAACAGGGAAATTTGTTAGGGTTTTTAGGAAAATTTGGGGAAATTTTTAGGTCATGTTTACTAATTTTCCTGTTTTCTACTTCTGTTTTTCGTTTTTCAATTTTCTATTTTTATTTTTCAGTTTTTTTCTATCTCCAATTTTCTGTTTCTATTTTTCAATTTTCTATTTTTATTTTTCAGTTTTTTTCTATCTCCAATTTTCTGTTTCTATTTTTTAGTTTTCCATTTTCAAATATGAAAACATGTTCATCAATTTTTTCACTCAGTTCTCCAACTCTACCCATACCCCCCCACAACCCTTCATACCCACCCATACCTACTCGTAGGGGTCGGGATAAGGAAGTTATGGGTGGGGGTGGGCAAGGGGTATGGTCGGGGTGGGGTGGTAAGGTCTAGGGGTTGGGTGGGGGTAGTGGGTGGGTTAGGGGTACGGGTGGGGTAGCAGGTAGGATTGGGGTAACGTAGGGGTAGGGTAGGGAGTTGGGATATGATGGCGGTAGGCTGGGCCCGAGATCCGGGTGGGGCCGAGGTAGGGGAAGGGTAGGGGTAGGATGGCGGAAGGGTGGGGGTAAGATGACGGTAAAAGGGTGGTGGTAGGATGGCAGTGGGGTGGGGCCGAGGTAGGGGCATGTGGTAAGGGGTAATATACGGGTGGGGGTAGGGTAGGGTGGGTCGGAGTGGGGTCGAGGTGGTAGAGGGTGGCGGTAGGGTAGGGTGGATCGGGGTGGGGGTGAGGTAGGGGCATGTGGTAGGGGGTGGGGTAGGGTCATTATTGTGAAAAATGGGTACGCGGGGTGGGGTTGGGTGGGTAGGGTAGGGTAGGGGTAAGGCACGAGGATGAAGGTACCGGAATGGAATCGACATCGAAGCGGGACCGGACCCACCACTAGGTGTAAGCGTGCAAATTCATTGCAGCGGAATTGTAGCATCTGCATTTTCCAAATTTGGAAAACTAGTAAAAGTCACTTCTTGAAATCATTAAGGAAAAGAGAGACATGTCTCATTTTTTTCTTTTTTTCTTTCTCCAGTTTTCCAGCAATTTCTTTGGTAAACATGTTTCCTGTTTCCTGTTTTCTGTTTTTCAGTTTTCCAATTTTGCATCTCACTTCTTACAACATGTTTAGACATTAGACATATCATTTTCAAAAGTTTCGTACAACATGTTGAGAAGAAAAAATTCCTCACTAAAGTGCAAAGACAAAGATTTTTTTTTAGGAAAATAGGGTGCAAAGTCAATATTATTCGAAAAGCGGGATGCACAATCAAAATATCGTTAATATTTCCAAAATTTTGGGACATGTTTACTAACAGAGATATTTTCCAGTTTTCCAGAAAACTGGAAAACAGGAAAACAGAAAACAGGAAACGTGTTTACCAAAGAAATTGCTGGAAAACTGGAGAAAGGAAAAAAGAAAAACGCGTTTACCAAATCGTTTTTCAAAACGAAAAAAATGAGACATGTCTCTCTTTTCCTTAATGATTTGGAGAAGTGACTTTTACTAGTTTTCCAAATTTGGAAAACACAGATGCTACAGTGCCGTTGCAATGAATTTACAAATTTACACCCAGTGGTTGGTCCGGTCCCGCTCCGATGTCGATTCCATTCCGGTACCCGCCATCCTCGTGCCTTAGCCCAGCCCTACCCTACCCTATCATATCCACCCAACCCCCACCCCGCGTACCCATTTTTTCCTATAATGACCTTACACCACCCCCTACCACATGCCCCTACCTCGGCCCCACCCCGATCCACCCTATCTTACTGCCACCCCCCTACCACCTCGGCCCCACCACGACCCACCCTACCCTACCCCCACCCCTCGTATATTACCACTTACCCCTACCTTACCCCTTACCACATGCCCCCTACCTCGGCCCCACCCCACCGTCATCCTACCCCCCACCCTCGTACCGCCATCCTACCCCCCACCCCACCCTACCTCGGCCCCACCCGGATCCCGGGCCCACCCCTACCGCCATCTTATCCCAACTCCCTACCCTACCCCTACCAACCCCAAGCCCTACCCACTACCCACACCCTTACCGCCATCCTACCCCCCACCTTACCCCTTCCCTACCTCGGCCCCACCCTAGTCCCGACCCCACCCTACCGCCATCCTATCCCAACTCCCTACCCCACCCCTACCCCAACCCTACCCACTACCCCACCCTTACCCCTAACCACGACCCTAACCCACCCACTACCCCCACCCAACCCCCTACCCCTAGACCTTATCACCCCACCCCGACCATACCCCTTACCCCACCCCCACCCATAACTTCCCTACCCCGAACCCTACGAGTAGGTATGGGTGGGTATGAAGGGTTGTGGGGGAGTATGGGTAGAGTGTAAGATCGTGGTAAGGGTAGGGATAGGGGTCAAGGGTGTGGAATTGGAGAACCGTGTGAAAAATTGATGAACATGTTTTCAGATTTGAAAATGGAAAACTAAAAAATAGAAACAGAAAATTGGAGATAGAAAAAGTGAAAAATAAAAACAGAAAATTGGAGAACGAAAAACAGAAGTGAAAAATAAAAACAGAAAATTGGAGAACGAAAAACAGAAGTAGAAATCAGGAAAATATCTCTGTTAGTAAACAAGCCCTTGGTATTCCGAATAAGATTAGGTATTCCGGATTGGGGTTTTGGGTATTAATCTACAAGAAAATCCTTAATTTTATGGATTTTATAATAATAATCTGTATTAAAAATGTTCATCAAAATAATCCGTACTAGCAATAGTGTTCATAAGAATATATTGGAATGAATTCAAACTAATGCTCATTTAATACTTTCAACCCCTACATCTACTTTTCTATTTACCACGCACTCTCCGCCTTAGTTCACACTTTTATATTTCAACCTAGAGAGAATGACATATGACGGAAATGATGTTGATATTAAACGAGTTTTAGTTTAAATTTGCCCCGAGAAGAAGAGTCGGTAATAGAAAAGTGGAAGTAAGGGTTGGCACTATTAAGCATGCATTAATTTGAATTCACTCCAATTTATTCGTAGGAACAACATTGCTAGTTCAGATAATTTTTGTGGACAATCCGAGTAGGATTATTACTGTAGAATCCCTAAAATTAGAGATTATTATTATGAATTTCACCATTGAAAAAATGCTAATTAGAAATTGGTATTTGTAAGGAATAATTGTATTTAGATTTTGATGATGCTAGATTTATTAGAACTTTAGACTACCCCCATTAGAATTATTGTATTACAATTGTTCTAAGTGTAAGCATTTTAGAATAATCGACTAACAGAAGACCTCCAGACAGAAGGTGATTTTGGCCCTCTGATGAACCTCTATCCTGACAGAAGGTCCTCTGACTCTCTGTAGAATCTCATCAGAACATCAGTGCAAAAGGTCCTCTGTTGGGCTTTATCCTGACTCAAGGATAAGGACTCTCTGATAGCTTTTTCCAACAGAAGTGCTCGAGACCTTCACCTGTCGATCTTCGGCTAAAGATACCAGAATGCCTGACACTTAGAGAATTACTGAAACTATCTATGCCGGTGAATTCAACGGAAGATTCGCTCAACGGCTAGATGACTTAAACGGAAAAGCTACAGTACACGCATTAAATGCACATTTAATGCATCCCGTACGCTGAAGAGTAAAAGCTGATGATTGACCGAGATTCCTGGAAAGCCTATCCCAAAATAGCAAGCTTCCAAACTTGCGGGCCCAACCGGTCAACTCAAACAGTACGCTCATTCAATGCAGTTGTCTCCTCCTCCAACGGGAAGACAACCTCAGTATAAAAGATACTACTCAAAGAACAACTGGATAACTTTGCTACATCTTTTGCTCCCACTACAACATTAAGAAGCTTTCTTGAGATTCAAACTCCATCTCCATCAACAAGAAAAGCCTACGTTGGGAAGATCATAAGTTCATATATTCTTCATCACCAACAAGAGCAAAGTTCCTATTGTTCTTCAACAACTTCAAGCACCTCATTACAAATCTTTTGTGACGAAGAAAGTTGGAGAAAACCCTGTTTTCAACAGAACATCTTCTACAAAGAAGGACGTCTTAAAGTAGCTTAAGTGGTGAAGTGGTGATACTTCAAGGAGACTCAGTGAAACAAGACCAGTCTTAAAGGAAGCAAGGAAGTGCATCCCAGGAGACATCTACACTTGAAGAAGACGTGG